GTGATGCACCTCTTAAAAATAGCTGAGTGAAGTAATAAAAAATTAAAATTCAGTGAACATTTTGACTCATTCTCCGGGAAAATACAAGAAACAAGGAACAAGATTCGCAGTGCCACAACAGTGAAGGACAAAGACGTATTATATCGTCGTACCATGCAATCCAATATAGTCATAAATATTTTAATTAATCATGTGCAAAGTTAGTTAAGAATTACATCTGACGGTAAAGTTTAAAAGAATGACAAAAAGGAAAATAACAAAATATAACAACTTAGGTAGCATATTCACAACTTGCAATCAGAAATGAACATTTCGGTGCGAGAGCGAAATATATTTTTTTAAAACAATTATTTTATGGTAGCTAGCAAAGTTTCTAGCTTAATGTCATTGAAGAATTGAAAGAATGCCATAGGAGAGGCTAAGATATTCAAAACTCTTCAGACGGGCAGAAGATTGCAGCCTTTTGCCTAATTTCATTAGTTAAACTTGCGTACTTCACAAGAATTTGTAACAAAGTCAAAAATAGAATCAGCTTAGATCAATAGCAATCAGAACTAAACGAAACAGATATTAGAATATAAAAAACCAAGCAACGGAACTCCGTGTAGAATTTAACCGCCAAATCACGGTTTGAAATTGGCTTCGAGAATAAACTTTTTTATACATCCTGAAAATCATAACTTTTGTAAATCAATAGAAATGTGAGGCCGTTTGCGTGTTCGTAATTGTTGGGCCATTGATCGTCCTCTAACTTAAAATCTGATTAGGTATTGCGTAGTCTGCGAATGACTGAAACGGTGAAGACTTTGATGAAGAATTTACGTATTCTGTGAGTGGACACATTTAAAAGTTTATTTCCAAAAATGTGCGTTCAGAGTCAGTTTCTTGAATGTTTTGTTGACGTATTGACAGTTTACTAAAAGTACAGCCAAATATAATCTGTTTAATGATGAGTAGCGTAATGCAGTGTATCGAAAAAATGTGAATTATTGCAGGAATTTGCGCAAATCGAACTTTTCACATCGTTTCGAACGTGTAGCAGTGATAGCGCATTTGCTACAGAAAATGTTTAAACAGGAACACCCAAGTGGAACAAGACCATGTAACCTTTCACGGTGGCATGCATTAGCTTCCTTATGCACTGCTTTGTCTATCAATTCCGTTGTTGCAGGGCCGAAGTCTGGATGAGGAATGACGAGGATTGGTGACCAGCACGAGATCTAGGTAAAACTTGGCCATCTGCCCTACGTGGCATTTTCAATATCGAACGTTCTATTCACTCTGTTGTAACCCGGGTTACCCATGATTTCATAAGTTAGCGGGAAATTGAGGGAGGTAATGGAATGTCTTCGATTAGTTTTTTGTTGCTGTCGAAGATCGACAAGAACTCGACGAAATACTAGTCAGAAATGCAGTCGTTACTTTTTCTGAATGGAGGAAGCAGGTGCAATTATAGCACGCCCGATAAATCTCCGCGGGAACGACACCACCAGTGGGAGCTAAAAGTCGGAAATGGAACATATGCTCATTTAGAGGAAAAGAATTAGTTGATGAGGCCATAAAGTACCATCTCGACATTGTTGGACTCTCGAAGCGCAAAGGATCTGGAACCTTGAACCTCTGCCGTGGAGGCTATTCTACTTAATGGTCGATATCACGA